TCTTTTATTTCAGAATAATTTTAGATGTATAAAAAGGTTGCAAGGATAATACAGAGTTCCCATATACCCTTCATTCAGCTTTCCCTGATATTAACATCTTACATAACCATTGTCCCTTTGTCAAAATTAAGAAATTAACATTGGTACAATTCTATTAAGTAAACTATAGACTATATTCAAATTTTGCCAGTTTTTCCACTAATGTTCCTTTTCTGTTCCAGGGACCAATCGAGGATACCATGTTGCCTTTAGCCAGCTTAGTTAATTTTTTCCCCAGTGCTATTTTGACTGTTCGAGATCATAAAGAAGGAAAGTTTCCAAATTTTTTTTAAGGAGCCAGTAGAACATTGATACCAGTTCTGGCAAAACAATACAATAAAGTAAAAACACAATCTCCCTTACAAATATAAATCTACTGCATAAAATATTAGCAAAGAGAATCCAGCAGCAATCAACAGAATAATAGTGGGATCTATACCAGGGGTACAAGGAAAGAGAACTAACCAGGATATAAAAATGAAAAGAGAGCCTGGTGTGGTGGCTCACACCTGTAATTCCAGGGCTTTGAGAGGCCAACAGGAGACGATTGCTTGAGGCTAAGAGTTCAAGACTAGCCTGGAAAACACAGTAAGACCCCATCCCTAAAAACAAACTTAAAATTAGCTGGGCATGGTAGTGCATACCTGTAGTCCCAGCCACCCTGGAGGCTGAGGCAGGACGATTCCTTGAGCCAAGGAGTTCAAGGCTGCAGTGAGCTATGATCATTCTACTGCACTCCAGCCTGGGCAACAGAGCAAGATCCTGCCTCTTAAAAAAAAAAATAAAAAAAGGACATCCAAACTGATCACTTCGAAAACCTGGAGACACGCTTTTTAGGCAAATGGAAGACAAATACAAATTAATAGACAAAAAGGTTAGCATGGACATAGGCTGCAACCAAAAATAAATTCCATTTAGATCAAGTGATGTGGCAGTCTAGCTTTATTTTACAATGGGGACCTCAGACTTGAATACCGTCCTTAGTTCTAGGCATCTCACTTTTTAAAAAAGTATAAAAGGCTGCTCTGAAGGTAGTGAGTTATCTGAATCGATTGGTCACAATCAGTTACAGGTTAAATTCGTTCTATTCTTTCCTCCCTTCTCACTACTGTACTTGACTAATCTTTAAAAAAAAAAGGATAAAAGGAATAATATAGAGTAGATTTCTAATTAAACATGGTGAATTGAAACGTCTTAATCTCTTCTTCCTAAACCCTATAAAAACCAGTAAAGGAATAAAAAAGGTATAAACCCATAGGATAGTGAATATAGGAGAGAAGACAACAATAGGTAAGAGATGTCAACAATGTTTGGAAGATAGAAAGTGTTTGGAAGAGAGGTAACTGAGTTTACAGAACAAAGGAAACAGAAACCTATGTGCCTTCAGAAAGGGATTCTGATGAAAAATGACCTGATTTGCCCAATGGCTCAGGAATTAGAGGCAGTAGGTACAAGAGAAAGCAGGAATGAGGCATAAGGCTGAAGAGATAGCAACAGGTCTCTGTAAGCAGCAGAGTATTCACAGTTTTCACAGCCCCCATCCCACCCCACTTCCCCACCTAGACAACTATCCCTTTTTTATTCTCCTGGAGACAAGAGGCTTATTTGCTGGAAAAGTCAAATAAGAAGAGCTTGGGGAAACTGGGCACAATAGAGGGTACAGGAATAAAAATAGAGGGATTAAGTAAAACTCTCTTTACTGAATGACAAGACCTCCAGCCCCTTCCTTTGCCCAGTTATCAGAATATAGGCAGCTAAGACTTTATATCCTGCTATGGATTGAATGTGTCCCCCAAAGCTTAATTCCCAATACAGCAGTGTTGAGAAGTGGGATCTTTAAGAGGTAATTAGGGCATGAGGGCTCTCCCTTCACGAATGGATTAATGCCATTATTGTGGGAATGGGTTAGTTACTGAGGGTGTGAGTACCTGATAAAAGGATGAGTTCAGCCCCCTTCCACAGTCTCTTACCCTTTCACCTTCTGCCACGGGATGACACAGCAAGAAGGCCCTCACAAGATGCCAGCACCTTGATGTTGGACTTCTCAGCCTCCAGATCT